GAAATAACATATAAATAACTTTAAATATGACCCAAAATATCTTCCCAATTGTTATTATATTCAGGCACTCTTCCAAGAGGTGTAACTTCAACTTAGCCCATAGAGTTTTGGTGAGAATAGAGTTTTCTTTGCAAAGCAATAGCCACTGTACATGCAATTGAGCATTATCAATAGTAACAGTAAGATCAACCAAATGATTCTTATCCAAAATTAGAAGATACTGTTATTGAAAACAAAAAATGTTTTTTGAGAGAGTCAGGGAGAAGATTTTATTCTCTGACACTCCTGTACCAGAAGCAAAAGCACAAATTGTTTTTCTGAAATAGCTTCTTTTGAAACAGCATGTCTACACTACAGGGAAGCCTCAAAATTAGTCCAAGGCAGGCTTCCCTAATGTGAATGCGCTACCTCACATTAGAGCCCCAGGAGGAACTGGGAAGTAATTACTTTGAATGGCCCTGGGGAGGAGCTATTTCGAAATAGCAGCAGTGGAGTGTCCAATCTATGGAATAACTGTGCTATGTAGACTAAAGATCTTAAATATCATGTAAATCACTAATTGAGAGTCAATGCATTTTTGCATCAACTATTCGATTAGTTGATAGGGTGGCTCTGCCCCTTTGAAACACCACCACTGCAGCGTTTCAGAGAGGCAGCGTCACGCGGAGCCTGGGCTCCATGCGGCAGTTCCGCTTTCAAACGCTGCTGTTGTGTTTCAAAGGGGCAGCACCACACAGCTGATCCCAGGCTCCATGTGGCACTGCCCCTTTGAAACGCCACCACGGTGTTTCAGTCAGCAGCGCTGCATGGAGCCTGGGGGCAGCTAGGGAATCTGGAGTCCGAGGTCACCTCCATGTGGCACTGACACTTTTAGACGCTGTCCCGGCATTTCAACCAGCAGCGCCGCACGGAGCCTGGGGTCAGTTGTGCGGTGCTGCCCCTTTGAAATGCCATTGTGTGGCATTTCAAAGCAGCAGCACTGCACAGAGCCAGGGACTCTGGGCTCCGTGCCACGCTGCCACTTTGAAGTATCCTTCTTCTCCCCTTCCTCCGCCTTGCTGCATCTATCTGATAGAGACAGCAAGGGGGGGGGAGTGAGTAGCAGTGAGTGAGAGTGGGGGAGGGAGAGAGGATGGAGTGAGAAGGGGTGGGGCCTCAGAGAAGGGGCATGAAGGAGGTGGGGTAAGGGTATTTGGGTTTGAGGTAGATCTTGGATTGCATTTAAATTCAAAAAGTGCATTTAAATAAAAAACCTCAGAACAAATGACATGTCATTAACTGTCATTAATTTGGGCAGCATCCAAAAGTGGAATGCAAGGCCTTGACAGCATAGGGGAATTTTACAAAATCTGGTTCAGCTGTTGGACATTTAACTAAATTAGTTACAAGAACTGTTTTGTTCACTAGAGCTGCGTCTATTTTGAGGCTCCAAAAAAGTTTACATATTTCTTGTACACCTTCCCACTGCAGACTGGGTCCTAATCACATTTCTACTTACTTATTCATGTGAACAGCTCTGCTAAACCCATTGATGCTATGGGTATGTCTAGACTACATGCCTCTGCCGACAGAGGCATATAAATTAGACTACCCGACATAGTCAATGAAGTGGAGATTTAAATATCCTACGCGTCATTAAAAGAAAAATGGCCGCCGCATTATGCTGGCTCAGTGGATTGTTGACAACGCGTCAGTCAAGACACGGATCGGTTGACAGGGAAAGCCGTTGTCGACCGCTCCTTTAAACCCCGTTTCACAAGGCATAAGGGATCGGTCGACAACGGCTTTCCCTGTCAACTGATCCGTGTCTTGACTGATGCGTTGTGTCAACAATCAGCTGAGCCAGCACAATGCGGCGGCCATTTTTCTTTTAATGACGCGTAGGATATTTAAATCTCCACTTCATTGACTATGTCGGGTAGTCTAATTTATATGCCTCTGTCGGCAGAGGCATGTAGTCTAGACATACCCATAGCATCAATGGGTTTAGCAGAGCTGTTCACATGAATAAGTAAGTAGAAATGTGATTAGGACCCAGTCTGCAGTGGGAAGGTGTACAAGAAATATGTAAACTTTTTTGGAGCCTCAAAATAGACGCAGCTCTAGTGAACAAAACAGTTCTTGTAACTAATTTAGTTAAATGTCCAACAGCTGAACCAGATTTTGTAAAATTCCCCTATGCTGTCAAGGCCTTGCATTCCACTTTTGGATGCTGCCCAAATTAATGACAGTTAATGACATGTCATTTGTTCTGAGGTTTTTTATTTAAATGCACTTTTTGAATTTAAATGCAATCCAAGATCTACCTCAAACCCAAATACCCTTACCCCACCTCCTTCATGCCCCTTCTCTGAGGCCCCACCCCTTCTCACTCCATCCTCTCTCCCTCCCCCACTCTCACTCACTGCTACTCACTCCCCCCCCCCTGCTGTCTCTATCAGATAGATGCAGCAAGGCGGAGGAAGGGGAGAAGAAGGATACTTCAAAGTGGCAGCGTGGCACGGAGCCCAGAGTCCCTGGCTCTGTGCAGTGCTGCTGCTTTGAAATGCCACACAATGGCATTTCAAAGGGGCAGCACCGCACAACTGACCCCAGGCTCCGTGCGGCGCTGCTGGTTGAAATGCCGGGACAGCGTCTAAAAGTGTCAGTGCCACATGGAGGTGACCTCGGACTCCAGATTCCCTAGCTGCCCCCAGGCTCCATGCAGCGCTGCTGACTGAAACACCGTGGTGGCGTTTCAAAGGGGCAGTGCCACATGGAGCCTGGGATCAGCTGTGTGGTGCTGCCCCTTTGAAACACAACAGCAGCGTTTGAAAGCGGAACTGCCGCATGGAGCCCAGGCTCCGCGTGACGCTGCCTCTCTGAAACGCTGCAGTGGTGGTGTTTCAAAGGGGCAGAGCCACCCTATCAACTAATCGAATAGTTGATGCAAAAATGCATTGACTCTCAATTAGTGATTTACATGATATTTAAGATCCTGAGTCTACATAGCACAGTTATTCCATAGATTGGACACTCCACTACTGCTATTTCAAAATAGCTCCTCCCCAGGGCCATTCAAAGTAATTACTATGGCTGTGTCTACATTGGCAAGATTTTGCGCAAAAGCGGCCGTCAATTACGTAGCTGAAGTCAAAATAGCTTATATCAGCTTTTGGCACTGTCTACACAGCTGGAAGTCCAAGATTGCACATGACCATAATGTATCTTATGCAATGGATAATGTCCTCTGGTCCTAAATGAAAGTTTCCATCTCAGGTGGTCTGGGAGGAATTTCCCTATTGTTCTCATTTTGTTCATCTCTCCCTATTTGGTTGCCCAGCTCAAATGCACCTGTTTTCACAAAAACTGGCTCTCTTTATTAGCATGGATTCCTGCACAGTGTTACAATCTACTGAACATGGTCAAAAGGTCACTTATTATCGCCCATCTCAACTTGAAAAAAAAAGTCTTCCTTTGATTTCCCTTACTCCTCATAAAATGAAGGTTACAGGAGTCAGAGTAAGAAGTCCTTAAGCTCAACATCATTTTGACATTATGTCAAAATAACTGCTTGCTGAGGAGACGCAGACTCTGTTATTTTGGAATAATATCAGTTATTCTGAAATATCGCTGCTGTGTAGACATAGCCAAAGTGCTCATCAAAGTGAGTATGGGTTTCACAAACAAATCCTCAACATGTTCCATAATAATACTGGTCTCAATTAAAAGGCCGTATCCAGGGCTTAGAGTTGGCTTTGTCAACTAGATTTTCCGTGTCAGCTTTAATAAGTAAATAATGAAAGGAGCTTGAAGGTACGTCTGAGAAGGGGCTATGTGCAGATACAGCAGTCTTTGAATGGCTGATTCCAGCACTTACCATTCACATCACAAAACCAAATTAAATTAATGGAGTTGCTCCAAGATAATAGTGCAGAATTTGGTCTGTGGTATGTATATTGGACATCAGAAAAATCCTCTACGAGAGGTACAGAAGAAGGCTGAGTGCTCACAGAAGAACCCAAAAGGTAGACTCAAAAGGTAGAACTTGGTTAAGGCAGGAAATTCTCTCTAATCAAGTGACAATGTTTAAAAAAAAAAAGCCACAGATTGACACAGCCTGGGTTCAGAAAGACAAGACTGATGCTCATCTAACCCACACTAGATGTTCCTTTTCCTTCAAGGATGCCCAGCAAGTCTCTCCCATTCACCAAGTTTTCAAACAATTTCTAAAGTTCTAGAGCTGTTAAAAACACCAGGATTTAATATTAATTTAATATTATTTTCTTTACTCCAAAGGCTGGAGGGGAGGTTAGGTCAGTCTGTGGTTTATAGGTTGATTTCACAGTCTCTCAGCAGATGTCACAGAGCTTGCTTTGACAACCTGGTTGGCAAAAGAAAGTTTTTGCTGTTAGAAGGCTAAGAGCTTTTTACCATGTAAGCAACAAAATCAAACACACAGGCATGTTAAAGAACAAGGTGCTAGATATTAACTTTCTCTTCTGTAAATGGCTTATAAATTCTATTTTGTTTACTGTAAGTTGAACTTGCATTGCTTCTTCTCTGTCAGAGATTTTACAAGCTGACATTCTTGAAGAGAAAGAGATGTTCATTTCATGAGAAAACGTGACAAACCTGTATAACATTTTCAGGCATGATGGTCTTTCCTCTGGAAATACACCATTGAGGGCACAACCAGCTAAGAGCTCAGTCCTGTAAACACTGAAGCTTGGTTTAAACATGTGAATTGTCTTAGGGTACATCTATACAGCAGCCTTATTTTGGAATAACTGAAGTTATTCCAAAATAACGTATTACATGTCTACACAGCAAGCCCATTATTTTAAAATAAATTCAAAATAATGGGCTTCTTACTCCGACTTCTGTAAACCTCATTGTATGAGGAGCAAGGGAAGTTGGAGGAAGAGTGTTCTATTTCAAAATAAGTGCTGTGTAGACGTGCCAAATTTCAAAATATACTATTTCAACTTAAGCCACACAATTAGCGTAGCTTACTTAGAGTTTAGCCCTGCTGAGTAGATGTACCCTTACTGACTCTACAGGAGCACTTGGATGTGAAGCATTATAGATATTTGAAAAGTTTTGCAGGGTCAGGAACCATTAATGATTAGAGAGCATTTTCTTCCTGCACTTCTAATCTCTCCCAAACCTTTGCATTATTCTTCTTTCTCCACTACCCAAGTAAGTATCATTACCTAACTTTATTTACTTTACACTGGTCCCACAATTGCCAGATAACCGCTTTTGCTGTTATATATGCCCTGGATTTTGTAATTTCCACTCCAGCTCATCTGATGAAATGGGTTTTTTTTTACCCACAAAAGCTCATGACCTAATATAAATTTGTTAGTTTCTAAGGTACCACAGGACTACTCATTGTTTTTATTTACCATTGTCACAGGACTTTTCTGTCATTACCCAGTGAACTGCACTGCTTGGCCACTTTGGTGGCCTCACAGTCCCACATCCCAGGTTGTTACTTATATAGCACCAGTTCATCATTTCCTTGCAAGTATAATGGTAGATTGCAGCTTACAGCAAGAAGAGACTTCCACTCACCACAGGCTCACTCCCTGGGTTTTTCCTTGCTTCCTGTTCCTTCCACTTATATCCTCCCAAATACATCATTAGCTCAGTGATTAACATTCAGCTGCTCATAAGCCTCCATCAGAAAGTGTTTAATTGCTCATAGATGAGCCTGCATCCCTTATGCCCTTGGTGCAACCCTAACCTCAGATTACTAATAGGAAAGCTAAATTAAGCCATACCTGACACCAGCTCCAGGGCTATCCCATAAAACACTTCTCCTAGAACTTATTACATTCAAATTTATAATTGTATGGGCATGTTTACACAGCAGGTCTAAACTCAAAATAAGTTATACAACCTGAATTACGCTAATTGCGTAGCTTAAATCAAAATAGCTTATTTCAACTTTTGGCGCTGTCTACACAGCAGTTCTTTCCAGATAGAGCCCTCTTCTCCTGACTTCCCTTACACCTCATACAATGCGGGTTACTGGAGTCGGAGTAAGATGTTCTTCAGCTCGACATTATTTTTACATTATGATGAAATAACTGCTTGTGTATAGATGAAGACTATATTATTCTGAAATAACACTGCTGTGTAGACACAGCCTATACGATCCTATAGTCAGTTTCTTCTATTGATAGTGTTTATACCTCAGCCAATTCTAATTAATTTTGAAAATAAGATTCCAGGAGATACATTTTAAATTGGTTTCTAAAATCAGATATTACAGTGACAGCATTCCCTTATCTACTAAGGCTCTGGCACTGCCAACAGTTACACACTTAACTGAATAGTTCCACTGGAATCAATGGACCTACACACATGTTTGAAGGCAACTACATGAGCAAATGTTGCAACTCTACACAAAAAAATAGGGGAATTTAACTGGCAAGATTTGTTTCTTATAAAAAAAATGTTGCTACTAATCATAGAATCATAGAATCATAGAATCATAGAATCATAGGACTGGAAGGGACCTCGAGAGGTCATCGAGTCATGAAAAATGATACAAAAGAGAAAAGAATTACTATAATATTTGTATTTATGATTTTGTTCTGAAAAATGCTACAAAAGAGAAAAGAATTACTATAATATTTGTATTTATGATTTTGTTCTTAGTATTTACTTTTTTGTTTGGGATTGAAATTAGGCTTCCTGGATGGTAATTGCCAAGATCATTTTTATTTCTTTAGTTTTTGTTACAGTTTTGAATTTTTTTTTTTTTAATATTCTTTTCATACTTTCCAATTCTCTGGAATTCATTTATGATCAAATTTGTCAGGTATTTTTCATTTGGAGACTATTTACCATTTGACATGAGCTGTTCTCAGCTCCTTAATATTTTTTAAAACATTTGTTTCAGGTACTAATTGGCTTATCCACATCTTGAGGGACTTGGTTACAAGAAGTACAAAGAAAAATGAAGAAATGAGTAACAGCATGAAACAGGATGAAGAAATTGCTGAATTTACATATCTTGAATTTGGAGATCCAGGGAAGTTTCAGGTTGGAATGAAATAGCTAATAGAAATTGTTAAAAATCTGCCATTTGATATATATAACAGTTAAAATATAATGTGTGTGGAGTACTCCGTTGGCAGGAAACAACTGAGGATAATTGCAATAAATGTTCTCTGGCTAGAATGAATTGAACCTGAACATTTTGCTACTAAATATTAGGTGGCAAAAATGCCTGAGGAATGAGCGAATTAAAAATTCTGAAGAAAGTATAAAGCAATTACATAAAGTACTTAAAAAAAGAAATGAAAAAATTACTGTGTGTGATGCCAGAGACAAAGGTTTCATACGTAGTTTACAGTAATTACTTGTTTAACACATAAGAACATAAGCACATAAGAATGGCCGTACTGGGTCAGACCAAAGGTCCATCTAGCCCAGTATCCTGTCTACCAACAGTGGCCAGCACCAGGTGCCCCAGAGAGGGTGGACCGAAGACAATGATCAAGCGATTTGTCTCCTGCCATCCCTCTCCAGCCTCTGACAGACAGAGGCCAAGGATACCATTTTATCCCCTGGCTAAAATTTTCGCAATAGCACAATTTTATTTTTAGGGAACATTTTTCGAGTAACACTACAGTCCCCGAAATAACACGAAAATAATCAAGAGGCGGACTACTTCACGCAGCGGTATAAGTTGGTGAAAACAGTGGTAATTCACAAGAGCGGATGAATGCATGTGGTCACAGCGGTCCTCCGCTCACTCACGTGTTTATCTTTGTGTTTTAAGAAACCGCAGAGACTTGTGTTGCTAGTTATCTTGTGTTGCTAGATATCTAATGCTGACATTGACGACCCAGCACCAACAAAAAATGGACTTTGCCATCACCACTTGAAACGCAACCCCCACCTTTTCCATTATTTTTAATGGGGAAATTGATCCCGCATAGCACGTTTTCGCTTAGCATGAACATTTTCAGAAACGCATCTATAGTGTTAAATGAGGAATTACTGTATATTCTATTTCAGGGGTCAGCAACTTTTTCAAATCAAAGAGCCAAATTACATCAAAATTCAGAACAAGTGGTCAAATGAGGAGCCAGGATAAGAATGCCTAGTTGCATGACTGAAACTATACAACTTAATATTATTGATAATTGACATGATGATTACTAATAGTATAAATGAAATGTACTCACAGACTTCTGCTGCTGCTGGGGGGCAGTAGTCAGGGTTGGGCTGGATGAGGGGCTCAGGGCAGGGAGCTGGGATATGTGAGAGGTGCCGGAGTCAGGGCAGGGTGCTAAGGTGGGAAGCAAAGTATGTGAGGGAGCCCTGGGACTGGATTACATTACCTGGCATGGGCTGGGCTGGGCTGCTGCACCCGGGCAGCAGTGACTGGATGAGGGGCCAGGCTGGGCTTGCCGCAGCCAAATCGTGTCCTCCCCTCCTACTCATGTTGCAGCGGGAGGGGGGCGGGGGGCACCATCAGCTCTTCCTGTGGCCAGATAAGGGTGAGACTGTGGGGTCTGTCCCAGGTTTGGGGCTGGAGACAGGAGGCTGTGGCCAGATGGGTGCTGGGCCCCAATTATCTTACCCATTACAAAGATAGCTTCCCCAATTATCACCTCTAATATCATTATCTCATAGACATTTACCTCCCCCCTTCATGCCCCCTCTGTTCTAAAATCTGATTTGTCTATTTTATATGTGTTCACTTTTTTTGATTGTATCCCTTTGGTATATATGGTCATGTCAATTTTCTTCCACAATTTGATCTGAGGAAGTGGGTCTGGCCCACGAAAGCTCATCACCTAATAAATCGTCTTGTTAGTTTTTAAGTGCTGCATAGTCCTGTCTTTTGTTTCAGTATTCAGTAGGATGGTGTTTTCTGTCACCAGTTCTAAAGGCAGTCAGGTAGCTCTGTGTGAGGACTCTTGGGCCTGGTCTACACTAAAGGGGAAAGTCGACTCAAGATATGTAACTCCAGCTACGTTAATTACATAGCTGGAGTCAAAGTATCTTAAATCACATTTTGGAGCGGTCCACACAGCAAGAGATCTTTCTCCTCATGAGGAGCAGGACTACTGGCACCGATGGGAGCATCCCCTCAGTCTGACTTAGTGGGTCTTTACTTGACCTGCCAATTTGAACCCTGGAAGATCTACTGTGACAGCGCTGATCTTCTCAGTAGTGTAGACAAGCCCTTGATGTGCTAAAGCACTGTTGGATTTAAAGACCACATATCATTTCTTCATTCTGATAAAATCTAGTGCACCAAAACAGTAGCAGAATAGAAATCTCTGGAGGCAGTGACAGATCTATAGAAAGGATCTTTAACACCAATAGAAGACTGACTGGATGTGACTGCTTAGAAGCCAAGGGCCTGCTGCTATTCCCACTAGAATCATTACAAAACTCATATTGACTTCCATGGGTTAGATGTTCATTTGACAAAATCCACCTTCATCATCACAGCTGTAACAAGGGTGGGGCAAGTGGGGCACTCGCCCCAGGCGCAGTACATTTAGGGTCGCAAAATTAAAAATTAGAAAGTTAAAATATTAGTTCATTTATATCTTTACTATCATCTATTTGCAATCTCAATTAACATGTGCAATTAATACAATTAATATAAAAAATTAAGAATTTTATCATTTTGGGAGGCGGGGGTGGGAGGGGACGGGTGCAGTAGCTTGCCCCAGGTTCAGAAAACCTTCATTTCGGTTCTGTCCATCATCACTATAGATTCACTACGGAAAGTCTGTAGAGAGGGCAAGGACGGAAATATAATACTTTCTCATCAACAGAGGTGTCCCAAAGAATGCAGGTTTGTGCCCTGTTGGTGGGGCCATGGGAAAAGATACGCTGTTTCTATATGTCGTACTCTTGTTGAGTACATGGAAACCTTTAAAATTC